TCGACCCACTTGGTGAAGTAGTCAATCGCGACCACCAGGTATGTGTTGTTCCCTGTCCCCCGAGGCAAAATACCGACCAGATCGATGCCCCACCGGGCAAAAGGAATCGCTGTGCTTATCGGGGTATAATTCGTCGCCGGTCGCCCTGGCATCCTCTGGAATTCCTGGCAAACCTTGCATTTGCGCACGTACTCTGCGCAATCTCTGATAATCGTTGGCCAAAAGTATCCTTGTAGGGTCACCTTCCTGGACATTGTGAAGGCTCCCTGATGTGCTGAACATATTCCCTCATGGATTTCCTCCATTAACTTCTGTGCCTCGCCCGCTCTTAAGCACCTCAACAATGTACCATTGTACGCTCGCTTATACAGCCGACCGCACTCCAGCGTGTAGCTGGGTGCACGTCGTCTCACCACCTTTGCCGCGATTGGGTCGATAGGTAGCGACCCGTCAAGGATGTACATGGTAATCTCATCAATCCAATCCGGCTCCTCTTTGAGTGTGATGATCAGCACTTGTCCGGGACTGATGCTTGGCTCGAGCAACTCTTCTTCCTGGGTCATTGCCTTAATATGATCCGGGGAATCCAGACCAAGCTTTGACAAGATTTTTGCCTCAGCGTTCTCTTCCCGAGGAACCTGCTCTATCCGGTACGCCCCAAATGCTTTAAGAAACTCCAGGGCAGTGTCTCTATACTTCTTCATTCGTTCATCCTTGGCCTCAAATTCTCAAGTGACGTGGCCTACCACTAGCTTGGAATCGCACCGGACTTGGATTCGCTCAGCTTTTAATGAGGCTGCCAACCTCAAGCCGCAAAGCAGTGCCTCATATTCAGCCTCATTGTTCGAGACTTTAAACCGGAATCTCACGGAGTAGTATGCCTTGAACCCTTCCGTTGATATCGCCACGACACCTCCCCCCGAAGCATCAGTCGCGGACGACCCATCGGTGTACACGGTCCACCAATTCCCTTCGGGTTCTTCTCCACTAGATTCTACCTCTATCGCAGTGCATTCTACCACGAAATCTGCTAATGCCTGCCCCTTTATCGCCGGTCACGGCTTGAACTCTATTTGAAAGGATCCCAGGAACACCCCCCACTTGCTGACCTGTGACGCGGCATTTGGGCTTCGAAGAAGTGTTCCGATGGGAATTTGTGATAACACATGGATCAGATGGGCTTGAAAATATGGGGTGAGCTTTTTCACCGTACACACCACCGCAAAGATGGTCTTTTCCATGTTGGTATATCTCAACTCCGCCCCTCGCAGCACTCGGGCCACATAGTACACAGGTCGCTGTGCGCCCTCCTCCCTCACAAGCACCGAGCTCACAGCTCGAGGAGAGATTCCTAAGTATAGGAATAAGGTCTCTCTGGGCTCTGGCTTCGAAAGCACTAGTGGGGAGAGGAGATATGCTTTTAACCCCTCAAAAGACCGTTGACATTCCTCGGTCCAAACGAACCCTCTACTCTTCTTAATGGTCTGAAAGAAAGGAGCCGCTCGATCAGCTATCTTTGATAAGAAAGGACTGAGAGCAGCAATCCTGCCGGTGAGCTGCTGGACCTCCTTTACATTTCGCGGAGGCTCCATCTCCAAAATCGCCTTTACCTTTTCCGGGTTAGGCTCGATCCCTCTCCGGCTGACCATATGTCCTAGGAATTTACCCCCCTGCACCCCAAATGTGCATTTCTTGGGGTTAAGGCGAAGCTGGAACTTCTTCATGAT